ACACATACCACGCAGTGTACGCGACGTTGGCCGTGCAGCTCGCGACCGCCGATGTGTACTCGAGCGACGACTCCATATCCCCACTCGCCAGCGCCGTCGTAAAGTTCCCGGTCGTTTGGTTCCCGACGCACGAGACGATCGACGCGCATGGCGTCGACATGGCGCACTGGGAGGCGAGTGACGCGCAGGCTTGGCACTTGGCTACAGGATACGACAGTGAGGACACCACGTGGCAGCACGACAGGATAATAATGCGTACATCGTTGCATCGAATCCGACAGCATCGCCCAGTTGGACGTGTACGGAAAGCCAAACGCTGAAATGTTGAGCGGAACAACCTTGTACAGCCAGCTCGATGGCGCGGACGATATATTTTCAAACGCACCGAGCACCGTGATCGTTGGTAGCGGCGCAACGTAGTTCGCGTATGACAGCGTGAGGCTCCATGATGTCTGGCTTGTGGAGGCAGATGTAGCGGTCACTTGCCCCATGCCGCCGAGCAACGTCTGTAGTAACGCCGCGATGGTCCGTGTCGGTGTTGCCAAGGCCACATTGGACACGCTGCCAACGCTCGAGCCAAAAAGACTCAGCTGCAACGTTACGTCCTTGGTCGTGTCCAAGAAGATGGTCTGGATCGCAGTCGTCACCGTTGGCACAATCATGCGGTAGGCCAAGATGGACGTGATGTTGGCCGCGAGGCTCAGGTCGGCGGCGACAGGGCACCCGTTCTGCAGGAGGCAGCTCGTCGCCGCGAGAAAGGGACTCGCACTCGCAAAGGTTTGGTTGGCAAAACAGAGGGTAGCATTGGCCGTCGCGTTCACAGACGACAACTGTGGTGACGCTTGAAGAGCACTGAGGGTCGACGCAATCGACGCATTCGCGCGCCAGCAGCTCAGTATATTGGCACACGCAGCGTCGGCGGTGCATGCGCTAAACTGCGACACGCACGCATTGCAGGTCGCTACAGAGACCATGAGTCTCTCAAGAACATAGGATCAAACTGTACCGCTGAGCACGAGGGCCGTTTTGGTGACCGTCGTCGGCAGCAAGAGCATCAACATATGGCTGGCCTGCACGGTGCGCGTCGCGGTCGTCGTCGCAAACGGTGACGTGACCCTCGGCAATGACAACGGAATCGCAAGGTTCGGGAATGTCAGCGTGACGTTGCACGAGAGATCGCAAGCCAGCACAGCCGTGGGCGTTAGCGAGACGCCCCAGACCGACTGGAACGCGTAATTGAGCCCGCTTGACGCGCTGCTCGTCACGACCAGCGAGACGTTGAGCGATGGGTACGAGATGGTTGTATTGAAGGTCACGGTCGTGTTGGGCACAGTAACGACGTGGACTTCGGGCGTCATCGAGAGGACCACGTTCTTGGGTATACCGTTGACCATTGTCGAGTTGAGCGCACACTGGTAGTTGCTCATGCACGAGTAGTAGAGCGCAAATCGAGTCATCGACTTGAGCGACGTGGTCGTGAACGGCGTTTGAGGTCCCAAGAGCACGGACGACATCGACATTGGCAAAAAGAGCGCGCTGTTGACGAGCAGCGCCGAGACATTGGCGTTGATGGCCGCCCGGAAGCTGGACAAGAGATAGGTGCAGTCGGTATCCGTGAGGCAGTTTGCCTTCAAGTACGCTTCGCACTGGTCGCAAACTAGAAAAAAGTGAGCAAGATTCAACTCGAAAGCGCGTACCAGTGGCCATGGTTTTTGTTGCATTTGTCGTTGCCGTGTTGTTGGTTGGAGTCCCCGATGGAAACAGGTTGGTACCGTACGTGGGCATCGGCGCCGGTGACGTGGTCATCGGGGCTTGTGTCGGCACCGCTTGGTACGGGAACCCAAACTGGACAGCATGGAGCGGTACGACCTCGTAGTATTGCGACGGCGAATTGGCACCGATGACGTACGCGGTCACGGGCGATGACGTGGCAATCGTCAGCGTTGGCAGTGGCCCAATGTAGTTGCTGTACGTTAGCTGAATGTACCACATCGTGTTGGTTTCTTGCGACGTCGAGAGAGACACAGTGCCCAAAGACTTGAACATCGCTTGGAGCTGGCTCGCGAGCACGGACGACGACGAGTAGAGCGAAATGGACTCAATACGACCAAGAAAGGCGCCGAGAAGAGAAATGTCGAGGCTCACGGACGCCGTGAGGGCCCCCGAGACGAGGATCTTCTGGTAGCCAGGCGTCACCGAGGGCACGAGACTTCGACCAGCCGAGATCTGGCTCAACGTCACGTTCACCGGACACTTGTTGGCCGCCAAACAGCTCGATGCCGCGAGGAACGGAGTCACCATTGCCAATGACTCATCCGTGAGGCAAAACGCAACACTCCTGCCGTACTTGGCGTAGAGCGAAGCCGCTGTGACATCGAGGGACCCGTTGCGCACTTGCTGCGTCGTGCTGTCGGCGTTCGCACACGATAGCAAGCGGGTGCAGCCCGAGAGGTTGCTGTAGCACGCTTCAAAGTACTGCAAGCAGCGATTGCACGCCGCTAGTCCGGCGTTCTCAGACGAAATACATGCTAACACATCAACGTACGGCTCTGGGCAATCTCCAGGTTCAGCCCCGTGGTATTGGAAGGGAAGAGCTGAAGCACTTGCGACGCACTCTTCTTGTATGCGGACACGTAGATGTCGTCCGCAACGACGTCTGGTAGTGTCAGCGGCAATATCGCGTGCGCAAAATCGAATGTCAAGTAGCACGGCAGATTCGAACAGCCGAGCGACGCAGTCGGCGGCATCGATGCGTTCCATTGAGACGCCAGCGCATACGTGAGATCGGCGGGCGACATGGAGCTGTCGATGGCCATGGTCACATTGAACGCTGGGTACGTCACCGTGAGGTTGAAGGCGGCCGATGTGTTGTAGATCATTGCGACATGCTTTTCGGTGCTCGCGACAAGCACGGGCACCAACGGCGCATTCGGTGGCGTCTTGACCAGTGGGCATTGATACTGCGAGAGACACGAGTGGTAGAGACCAAAAACGGACGCTGCACGCGCCGGGGTCCCCGCTGGTACGCTGCGCGCGATGAGATCCGAGACGTCGATGAAGCTTCCGTTGCCGGCGTTGATCATGCTGAGGATTGTTTGGTTCATGTTGCGCTGGAAGTCGGTCATGAGCTGTTGGCAGCTCGGATCGGGCCCGCAGTACGTCTGCAAGAAGGCGCGGCACTGGTCGCACACTACACAAAAGATGAGTTGTTGAATAGCGTTTCTTGGGAGCGTACTGGACGTCATGTTGGTGGCCTTGAACATGTCCATGGGCATTGGCGCTCCCGCTGCAAAGTACTTGAGGTTGTACGGCACGACCTGCAGGGCGACCGACGCATTCGGCGAAGAGACGCGGACGTAATCGTAGTTGCGGTACACTTGGATAGTCGGCAGCGGGCCCACAAAGTTGCCATACGTGAGCTCGAGCGTCCAGAGACTCTGCGCGGCCGCGAGCGTCGTGTACGAGTACGCTCTGATGGACGAGGTAAAGTTGCTCAAAAACCAAAGCTGCGCCTCAAACGTCATGAAACCAGAGCCAGAAGCACTGACGTTGTAGAGAGCGCCCAGCGTCACGCCCTTGACCGAAAACTAGATGGGATCGATAAGACTTTGTCGCTAGTTGGGACAGCGTACCATGAGCGTCACGCTTTCATACGTCTGCATTTGGATCGTCTGCGTCGCGTTGTTGGGCTGCAGTGAGACCATGCGGGTCGAGCTCACGTCCTCCGTGATCGGACACGACGTGTTCATGTAGCAGCGCAGCGCCGACGTGAGCTGCTGCCAGCCCGCAAACGAGACGCCGAGCTGGGCATAACACGAAGAAAAGTTGCTCGTCAGGTTGGCAGTGTAGCCCATCGGGTACGTGGTGCTGAGCAAAATGGACGGGTTGTCAAAGATCGCCGACGAGTTGGCCATGCATGCAAACGCCCCGGAACAGTCGGCGCTCTTGCGACACGCCTCCATCTTGTCGCTACACGCTCGGCACTCGGCTACAATCAACAGTTGAGTGTCGAATGCCAGCACTCGAGGCGCGTACGGATCGGGGTCAGACCCATCCCGGACGCGGTCGGGCCTGGCGGCGGCGGCCCAGGAGCAAATGTCAGCTGCAGGTTCAGCGGCGCCGGAACGTCCGTCGACGAGACTGGCGCGTTCGAGTTGAGCACGAGGTGCGGCAAGGGGCCCACAAGGTCCTTGTACTGCAGCAGAATGTACCAGTAGACACTCATCTCTTGCGAGATCGGGTCAAACTCGGGAGTCGAGTAAATTTGGACTCGAACACCGGTGGTGACCGCCGAAAGCAGCGTCGTCAGCGGCATGGACAGCGTCTTTGGGTCCGTCGACGCGACGATATTCCCCAAGTCCATCGATTGGCTGCCCATTTGCACCTACGACACAAGATGGTCATGTCCTGCGTCCCAAAATCACAAATTTTCGTACCCAGAGGCTCACATACGAGCCTTGCGGCGCACGAATGAGCTGGCGTGACGAGAATGGCTGCGACAGCGTAATGTTGCCCGAGGGAACTTGCGCGACGGGGCACCCCGACTCCATAAAGCTCTGGAGCACATCGACGAGCGGCGCAGCGCTGGCCGGCGGCAGACTCCCGAGGCAGTTTGCGGCCATGTCCGAGACGTCCCACTGCGAGTTGTTGTACCACAGTGTTGCGTTGCGCGCCATTTGATCCGCCAGCGCCGGCAAATCCAAGCAGTCGTAGGCCATCGGGTACGTCTTGCTCAGCGCCGAGAGCTGCGCGTTCGCCTTGGCGCACTCGGCGCTTTGGCCAGTCGCGATCGACGAGAAGAACGCCGTGTTGTACGGGAGGACCTCGACCGCGTAGTACGGTGCGACGTTGGTCGAAATCGAGACGGGCGGCTGCGGACGCGCGTTCGGGTTGTACACGCTTAGAATCGGGAGCGAGCTCATGAGATTCTGGTACGCAATCTGGATCGTCCACGCATTCTGGGACGGGTTCCAGCTCTTGGAGACCGTCGGGACGACGCCAGTCGCTGCAAATTGCTGGGAAAGCGTGTTGCTGAGCGCGGCGACGTCACTTGTCTCGGTAAAAAGAGGAGTGATCGCAATGCCGTTAAACTCGATCTGGAGCTGGAGCTCGTACGTCGACGCCATGATAAGGACCGCGTGGCTCGGGTCGTTGGAGTAGAGCACCGCCATATTGGTCGTATTTGGCAAGAACGGCGCGAGCGGGCACCCCGAGTGGAGGAAGCACGACGCGGCAATCTGAAAATCCGCCCACGCATTCGCCGAGGTCGTGTTCTGGCACTGCAAAAGCGCTTGCGTAATGTCGCGCGTGAAGCCCGGGAGGTAGTTTTGAACGGTTTGCGTGAGGAAATTCGGCGTCAGAATCTGGTTCTGGATGCAGTAGACGTCGCTCGACTGCGCGAGCAAATTCTGGCACAAGGCGCAAGCCTCGGACGGAAGCGTGAACAGATTCAAGGTCTGGTTGCCTCCATCGGTGAGTGGCGACGCCGGATACAAGCTGAGGTTGAGACTCAGTACGTTGTTGGCGATGATGGCACTGTAGTAGTTGACGCTCTCTTCGCCCGAGTGGCTCACAACCGTCACGGACGACGCGGCCGTCGTCGGGCTCATCATGCTATATGTGCATCGTTAGACAATATTGTACAAGCATAGCATTCGTACTGGGCGATGACGCGCACGACGAGGTCGTCGGAGGCATTCTGGAACGAACCAGGCGGCGTCAAGTGCAGCACAACGTCGATGCGCGACGGGTTCGAGTCGGCCGACGGCCAAATCTGCCACACGGTCGCATTGCTCGCATCGATGATCGGCGCGACGGCCCCGGGCGCAAACGCGTTGGAGAAGAGCGGACGCTTGGTCTCGTACGACGCGAGGACATACGGGACCTCCACAAACGCCGACGTGAACGCCAGCTGGAGGCAGAAGAGCGCGTTGCACGGCGGCGACGGCTGCGTCACGTGCACAAAGCTGCCGTCCAAGAGTGGGTACGACTGGCGTGGCACGAAGAGGTCGCCCGACGACGTCACTTCGTACGTCGTGTAGCCATCCGCATACAAGTTGAGCTGGATGCCCAAGATGGTCTGCGCCGTCGGCCACTCGACGGCCGCGAGCGACTGCGGAAGATTGAGCTGGACTTGCGTCTGGACCGCGTCGCGACCGACGTTGGATCCATCCGCCAACGGCAACTGGAAGGTCCACTGCATCGCGTTCGAGTTGTACGGCTTGTAGAGCTTGAGGAGCGAGATCGCATTCGATGGAATGCCCGACGCAGCCGCCACGGCGAGCTTGATGCGCGCATAGTCGAGCGCCGAGTACGTCATGGACAACTCCTGGTACAAGGTCAGGTACAAGAAGACGTACGGACCGATGGGCGCGGCCACCGGTGCGAGCCCGGTCGAGAGCTCGACGCCGACGAGGCCAAACGGTGGCAAGCCCGGCGATGCCGCCACGACGGCATTGATGACGGCCGGGTTGACGAGCGCCGACGTCATGTTGGTCGTCTGCTGCGTGTCGTTGGCGTCCGTAAAGAGCAAGAGACGCGCCTCGTAGTACGCAGCCTGCGCGGCCGACGGCGCGTTTGTGTGGATATCATAGATCTGCGTCGCATTCGCACCGACGTGGTAGCCCAACATGGTCGTCAGCGTCGGCAGCGACGCTGTCAGGTTCGCGAGCGTCACATTCGCAAACGAGACCGTCACGCGCAGGTAGGTGTTGGGCGAGATGGCATCCGGCGGCGTCTCGAGCACACTCGCTTGGTAAAAGCTCAGCGGTACGACAAAGCCGTCTGCGCCGAGGTCCAGCATCGCCGAATCAAACTCGTCGCCAACCCCGTTGCGCTTGAGATGGTTCGCGAGCGTCGTCTGCAGCGGCCCGGACAGCGCCATACGGTCCATGGTCGCATTGAGCTGGAGGTGCATCGTGACAATCACCAAGTAGCTGCCGCTGGCCTTGGTGACGGGGCCCGTGATGATGCGACTGGTCGAGTTCCACCCGAGGTTGGACGCGATCGCGAGCTTGATGCGCTGGAAGAAGAACGCGTCGTACGTGTTGAGCGGGACAGGGTTCGCGTCGTAGTACTGCAATTTGACGTCAAAGTACGGCGACGTGAGGGCGACCGCCGGCTCGGGGCTGCTAGTCGTGCTCGTGCTGTAGTTATAGACACTCACAAGGACCGGGTTGGGCGCAAAGACCGACCCGAGCTGGTCGAGCAGCGTCGCATTGTAGAACGTGGTCGCAGGTGCCAGCATCGAGTCGTACGGTGCGTAGAGCCGGAATGAGACGTTGAAGCTCCCGTATGCATTCGCATCGCGAAGCGACGAGTGCACGCTGGCCACGTCCGACGTGTTGCTGAACACTCCTGCTGCGGCTTGGAGCACCGAGAGGAGCGCGGTCTCGTGAACCTCCAGATCGTGGAGACTCAAGCTGCCGTCGAACGTCAACCACACGCGCGCAAACGACGACGTGAGCGGCACCGGGGGAATGTACACGACCGAGTTGAACCACGAGACGTACCCGTCCGCGCCCAAGTTGAACTTGACACCTTGGTATCCCGTGAGGAGACTCATGTCCGGTCGGTTGTTGAAGAGGAAGCGCGACGGCGCGTTGAGCGACATGAGCTGCGAGATCGTCTCGCGGGCCGGCATGCCTGCCGTCAAGTACGCCCGGACGGTCCACGTCACCGTGTACGAGTGCATGGGCTTGGACACGTCGAGCACCTTCATCTGCGACGGCAGGACCGCGCGGTTTGAAGCGCCGGCCAGCGCACACAGACCGCGCTGGAGGTCAAACACGGGGCTTCCTTGCGTCGTTGGCGCGACTTGGATGAACGTCATTGTGAAATCAAAGAATGAAGGTGTCGCGACAACTCCCGCCGCTGCTGGCGACAAGTAGAGCGCAACCATGCCTGCGGGTAGCTGGAGCGCGGTGAGAATATCCTGCAGGAGCGCGCTACTGTTGGTCGCGACCATCGCCGCAATCGCATCCTCGCTGCTGACCGGCGTCGGCTGCGCGCGGAGCGACAGCCCAATGTACGTGGGCGTGTCAATGTCGCTGGCGTCGCATTCGATGGCGACGACACTCATGGACGCTCCGAGGTCGGCCGCAAGACTCTGGAGGATCGCGGGAGTATACGCCTCGACTTGGCGAAGGCTGAACGCAATGCCAAACGACAGCGTGACGTTCACACTCACGTTGGGCGGCGACGGCAGACTGTACGCCGAGCTGTACCACGACGTGATGGCGCCGTCGGCCGTGAGGTTCATCGTGTACATACCAGACCCGAGGAACGTCAAGTCGTTGGCTTCGAAGATCGGCGCACAAATCAATGCGCTGTCAAAGGCCAAGTGCAAGCTGTCGCGCGAGACGAGCCCGTTGTCGAGACCAATGAAGAGCGAGACGACGAGCAGCGGCTGCCACGACGCTTTGGCCGCTTGCGTCACATGCACCCACGTCGCGTGGTATCCCAGGAGTGCGGCAGCGGCAGCGAACTCGACCGATTGGAAGAAGAAAGCGTCGAGCGCCACTTGTCCGTCGGCCGGCGCCGGCAGCAAGAGGTCCATGCCAATGTACGGCGCACTCGGGAGGAACGGCGTCACGGGGCCAAGACCTTTCACGAGCACGTTGTTGGCCGACATGGACGGCGAGAGCGCACCAAACATGGCCTGCGCCAACGCCAATGGCAGCATCTGCCCGACGACCAGACCGAGACTCGTATAGTTGACCATTGGCGGCATGGCTCCGGTCGGAGCGGTAATGACGTCACCGGTGCCGTTGGTTGCATTCTTCAAAAAGAGGTTGATCGAGACGACGTAGTCGAGCATCGAGTAGAGCGATGGCTGGAGGTTTGTCGCTGCGAGGTTGGTCGTGACTTCAAACCCGGCCGTGTCGACGTGCGTCACGAGCGCCGTGTCGTTGTCGTTGTTGTTGAGGTAGCTCATAAGCATATTCTCCATCGTATGCTCGTTCATCTTGAGTGCTTGCAGTGACGTGGCGTACGGAAGACGCAGGTCCAATCGCACGTAGCTGGCGTTCGCTGGGTTGGGCACCGAGGGCACGACGTAGTCGTACGTCTGGCCGAGCACGAGCCATGAGAGGTGTCCGAGGAGCACGAGGCCCAAAAGTCGCAGTCCCATCCTCGAGTCGAGTTGTCTACTGCATGCCACGTCGTCCTCTGCGTTCAATTATCGAACAAGAGAAAAACCTTCGTATTGGCGACTCTTGTCCAAGGGTCGTCCTCGTAGATCTCTCTTCAGACCTCTCGCCCAGCGATGCTATGAGCTCCCAACATCTACTTGATTCTTTGCGTTAGATTGACCTCTTGGCTCTACGCCACAGCTTACAACGGGCTCACATTGATATCCCAGGAAGCTCTACAGCGAGCCTGGCTCAGGATCACGTGGAAGAAGAAGACGAACGATATAATCCGAACAAGAGAACGATCAAGAGCTTGGCGTGGGACGACGTCGAAGGTTAGAAGCCACACATGCACTCGGAGAGCTTTTTGCGAATGTCGTACAAGATCAGTTTGGCGCGCGCATCGATGGTCGGCCACATGCTCAGAAGGGTGTGGGACCCCGCGGCCGACGCGACCAACACCAGACTGCTTTCATCGTCACCGGGCAGCGCGAGAAGGAGGGCACCGTCGCCGCTCGCGTTGACTTGGGTCGCCAATTGGAGGTTGAGCGCCTTCATGTCAATGTGATGGTGGTGTCGGATCATGGTTTCGTTGAGCGAGTTGACGGGGCACACGAGGCGGAAGCGCACCTGCAACACCATCCGTTAAGCTGCAGGCGCTCACAGGTCCGAGATACTACCTCGTTGGGTGTGGCGCGGAGGAGCTCAAAGCGGTCGTCGGAAGCGAGCTGCGCAACACACGCCGCTTGGTGTGACTCGAGCGCGTCACGCGCAATCAACGACTGCAAATCCGCTTGTACGGACGCCGCCTCGAAGCCGGTGCCAATGACAGCCAGCTGCGTCAACGGCGCACACGGCCATTTGCCCGTGTTGGTCATCTCGAGCCTTGCACTTGGCGATCAGACGCGCATGATACGGAAGAAAATGCTACCGTTGCTTGCCGCTGAGCTGCAGCACGTAGCGGTGGAGCGGGTCTTCCGCGAGATAGAAAATGCCCTTGGCGCGCAGCGTCGACGGTGGGAGCTTGGCGCCAATCCACGCAGTCAGCGCCGGCAGCGACACGGGCGTCTTGGACTCGAGGACTTCGGTGGACCATTCAGTGTGGCTCGGCGTATACGCGCGACCATCGACTCTAGAAGAACACCATTATAACCACTCTGCTCGTTATCGGCGTTGGCTGTGTACTGGGTGCGACGCAAGGTCGAGGCCGCCGACGTGTTCCAATGCGCCTGGACACGCTCGTGGCTCACCGAGTTGTAGATACCCTCGGGCGGCGCAATGTCGAGGATGCGCGGAAGGTACACGTCGCAGTGCGTCGTCTCGTAGATGTGCGCGCCGGCCGGCGTCAGCGCCCGCACGACCTCCTGTGCCCGCGCCTTGCGTTCTGGCACATCGCATCAGAGAGAGGGAGTCGGACGCCAAGGCATGCGTACCTGGCGAATGGAGCAAGTCGATCTTGTTGAGAAGCACGACGTCGGCGCACTTGAGCTGGTTGAGCGCGACGGCGCAGGGGGCCACGTTGTTGTCGGCGTCGGCGACTAGCGCATCGGCATCGACGACTGTGACCACTGAGTCGAGACGGGCACGCGTGAGCTTGCCAAAGCGCGCTTGAATGGCTTCGATGAGCGCGAGCGGGTCCGTCGTGCCGCTCGTCTCGACCACGAGGTAGTCCATGGTCATGTCGTCTTGGCTGAGCACCTGCCACACCACGTCCTTGAACTCGTTCGTGTTGTCGACGTCGAGGCGCACGGGGCAGCACATGCAGCCGTTCTCCATAAGAAATCCGGTCGACGTCCGCGTCTTGGACTCGGTGATGAGCTGCTCGTCCACATTGAGCGCGGCGACGTCGCTCACGCAGCAGCACACGCGCAGGTTGAGGCGGTTCTTGAGGATGTGCCGCAATAGCGTCGTCTTGCCGCTGCCGAGGAAGCCCGTGAGGATCGTCACGGGCAGGTGGCGCGTCGGCGGCGCCAGAAGGAGCTTTTCGTAGTGCAGAGAGAGGTTGAGGCGGTCGACCTCGAGCTGCGCGCTGCTGCGGGCCATGGCAAAGGCAATGTGCTGGCCGATCGACGGAAATCCGGATAATACAAGCGTATCCGGATACTCATGGGCATCCGGATATCGAGATGTTGGCGCCATGCTTGATGTCGACGAAGGCCCAGACTCTCGGTTGCCAAAGTCCTCATCTTAGAACGAGCGACTCCCTCCTAGGGCACGTGGCTCTTCAATTTATCTCGACCATGCAACTACACGACTACCACTAATGCATATTATGCTGCGGAGTGGCCATTGGGCGTTGACCCCAAGGGAAACATGATTCCTTTGGTTGCCCCTCACGTTGCCGTCCCTACTCGCATTCATCCCATAGCACGTGCTACGAGGGGTGCTCACGACAGGATTTAGAACGCTTGGTGGCAACCCAAGCAAAGGATGTACCGTGCTGTGCATGGTATCGACCGATGTACCCAGCGGCATTGTACGCTTTATCCTGTCGCGCTGCCACGTGGTGTCCTCATTGTCGTATCCTGCAACCAAGTGTCAAGCCAGCGCTCGCCGCCCAGTGCGTCATGGCGGCGCCATGCGCGTCGATCATCTCGTGCGTCGGGAACCAAACGACTCGGAACTGTACGATGGCGCTGGCGAGTGCGAATATGGAGTCGTCGACCGAGTACACGTCGGCAGTCGCGACACGGCCAACGTCGCGTACACTGCGTGGTATGTGTGTTGCGCAGGCGCTGACGTGCATAGAGATCAACCAGAGTCCGCTGCTGTCGACGACCGCG